AGTTTGGAGTTTTTGTTTATTGAGTATGAATTACTTCTGGTTTTTAAGTTTCTCTATTTAATCACTGTTAAAGCTTGAAACTTTAATTGTGTTTAATACCGATTGTTCTTATGTAACGGCTTTTAAACTCTGTTCTGGCATTAGAGTTTATAGAAATGATTAACCTTTTTGAGTTTATGTTGATGGGTAACAATAAATTTGATTGATTTGATGTTATTTTGAATCTTATAACATTTGATATAAGGTTTTCAATACTCTGGAGTGGGCTAATTTGGTGTTTTCTTGGTTTAAACCAGATGCAATTCTCTGTTGAAAATGTCAAATCTGTCTCAGGACAAAGAGGTTCTGATAGTGTAGGCGAAAAGAAGATTCATCTTCGACCAAATGTATCAACTTGTGCTCAAAAATCTGTGACTCTCTCTGTTTTTGAGGCTAGGGAAGGAGCTTGCGAGCTTGAGAATACTACTTCTGGTGAATTGCATTTTGTAGGTCTTTTCTATTTCCTAAAGACGATTCATAGTTTGTGTCTCTTACAACTAGCTTATATTGGGTCATGTATGCAGGTGGCTGTTAGATGAAATGAGTGAAAGCTTACCAAAGGTTGGTCTTTACTTGATTCACAGCAGCATATGTATTTTGGTTTGATATCCATCTTCTTGCAATAATTTCTGGTGCCTTCATGATTTATCACTGTATTTGATTTCACTGTCTATTCTATTCTGAAGTATTTATCTTTGGTCTTAAAGTTTGGCTTCATCGGGAACCAACCAGTTGACCTTATTCCAACACTACCGTGAGTATCGTTTTGTGTCTCTTTTGTAATTTTTTAGATTATGAGTTTGTGTTTTGTGAATGACAATATTCAGACTTACATTCACAAAATCTTTGCATCAGAATCTCAAAAAGATTCTAAATTGGCGTTTTTGTGGCCAAAGACAGTTGATGGTACGCCTAAGCCACTACAAGGTATATGGTCCTTCTTTCTTTCCCTAATTTTTTGTATTCATATTAAAAACCACGAGCAATAGCACTTAATACTTCATCAATTGAATAGATTTTATGAACTTAATTGT